CTGATACCAGCCGGTACCGCTTGTTTTTGGGGTCCGACTGAGGTAGTTCATATGGGCGAATGCTTCAAAGCTTGGTTCTACCTCATGCATCTCGCAGCCGGCAACATAACCCTAGATGTTGAACCAAGAGTTAGGGGCTAGTTGCCAGACACCCATTGGTATCTTCCAAAATCCTCTCTACAGCCGGATGTAGAGGAAATCTCAAGCCAGCCTTAATTGCCGCCTCATAGCAGCCAAAAAAGGCGTCCCCGTAGCTGGACTGCTCGGGCCAGACTACCGTATCCTTGGCATCCGGCATGCAGATTGCATACCCATGTCCCATGACATGTTCAGCTTTGAAACTTTCCATTTTTTCAGCCATCACCTTTCGCCTGCCCTTTGGGACATGATGAAAGTAGGCGGTGTATTGTTCTCTGTTGGAAGCAGACGGCTCCGCCCAAATTGGTCTCATGTCTACTAAAAGGGACTCTCGCGCAGTCTCTAGCTGAGAGTGCCTCTCTTCAGATTCATCTGAGACTCTGTTTGAAGTACTTGTCTTAGAATCACTATCTGAGCTCTCGGTTGAAGAGCCCGCCTGGTTTGCCAGATCAACAAGCACTGGCATAGCATTTTTAGCCTCTTCCCCTGATTCTTCTAAAATGGAATCACTAAGGGTACTTGGGGCAGGCGGCACGTCAGACAACTCACTGACAGGCGCATGGAAATAGGAGCCATCTGAATTGGTTACCCTTATTGTTCTTTTGGTTCTGGCCATGGTGTCTTGCACAGGCACATAGACAGTCGGACTTGGGCCAGTTCCCAAAGGGTGGTCCAGCAAGGGGTAGTCGACACTCCTAGTTCTAGATTCAGCCGTCCCCGGGGACCGGCTAACCTAGGCCGTGCCGTGTGCTTTTGGGAAACCATTTTCAAAAAGAAAGACAAAGTATGAAAAAATAAAAAGGAACAGACGGTTACCTTTACTTGATGAAGATGAAGGTACTCGAAAGTCCACAGCGATTGTAGGAGCAGGCGGTCTGTAAAGCAGTCGGTTGTTCTCTCAGAAAAAGAAAGTTCTCTCTGGAAATTTTTCAGGAAATGTCCAACAAATGATTTGAACACTCCCTTTTTATAGGGAGGTGAATTCCAAGGGACAGTAAAAAAAAAAAGGAAAAAAAAAGGGTAAAAACCGTTCTCCAATCATGGCGTGACGCCTATCACAGGCGCCACGTGGCATGCCACGTCATCCTTGTGAGAAGCAAATGATTAGGGAATTTTCCCCGCCACGTGGACCAATCAGAGGTCGCCACGTGTCACCTTGTGAGAGGTCCAAGGTGGACCAACCAGGTCACGACACGTGGAAGGCAGAATTGTTAATTGAGCAAGCGACCTTCTACGACCCAAAGTTCCAGATAAAACCCAATTAGCCCTAGGTTTACTAAAACCTAGTATTATATTGGGCAGGTTTTCCAAAACCCTATAAAAGGGAGATGTTTCCCTCCGAGGAACATCTATTCAAAAATATTCAACACACATTAACTCTCCATCAGAAAAGTCAGAAACCTGACACCCCAAATCGAGCAATTATACATTGTCGATCCTCTCTTGAAATCCGAGAGAGACCCTTCACTTTCCGCACTTTACTCCTTATACACGTTCTAACTTGATTGTCGGAGGCGGAGCTCCCACCCCTCGGAGTTTCCGTTGTTTTGCAGGTACAAGTGTCCAGAGGTCAGTCTTGGAATTGTAACTCTCCCGAAGGACATCAAAAAACCTCGAAACACTCGCCCTTACCGCCATTAAAAGGATTAGGGGTGAATTGTGGTGGGCACGCTGGATCATAGTGCCAATCACTACCACTCGGCCGGTAGGGGTCATAAGGTGGGGCCCATCATGTTAGGAGGGGTCGATAGGACCCTCCCAATAAGGATAAGTAGGGAATAGGGTGCACGGGATCATAGGGCTCCTATGAGGGATCGAGCCCTCTTGTGGTGGGTGGTAAGGATATTTAACATAAGGCGTTTGAATGCCAGCTTGTACATTGGTATCATACATCATCCTCCGGTAATACCACCAATGTTCCATGAAAGATTGGTTATCATGACGAATATCATCAAGGGTGCTACAGAGGGCACTAATATCAAAAGGATAAGAGGAGGAAAATGCCTCACCTCCCCTAAGAGAGGGGGGGGGGGATAGGTTGCTTCGAATGAAATAATGGGCTTCACCTCTACCACGAGTGGTGATCCTCAAGGCCCTCGGGAATGACTTGCCTTGGGATCTTTCGCCGCAACGGATTAGTAGGATTAACCCGAGTGAGAGTTTGATCGAGAAGAAAACACCTCTCATCCTACTTGATGACAGTTAGGATGAATTGACGGTCACGATCGGTGGTGTAGTTGATAAAACGTTGTTGTCGGAGAGTAGAAATATGTAGAGAATAAGCCACGAAAACTGTGTCTTCACCTTATTTTTCTTGATTGACATAGGGGAGTAAGTGTTGGGTTTCGTAGTGTCCAACGCTACGCGGAAGAGAAACCCGCCCAAGATCCGCTCACTAATTAAAGCAACTAAACATGCAATCACATAATTAACAACATAAGAGAGAGAAAGAGAAAAGACATTCTTACCCTTTGACGCGTGTTTCGCTCGATTCACGAGCTCTTACTTCAAAGCTTGAGCCACGCAAGTGCGACGATCTCCTACGGCTCGCGCCCTCGACCCGACCTGAGCGGTCTTAATCCCGAAGGTTAATCGGGACTTGACCAAATAAAACTAGAGTATTACGAACTTAAAGGTTTTCTCACTTTTCAAGGAGATGCCTTTTTGAGTTCAACTCAAGTGATTTTTCCCAAACCCAAAACTTGGGTATTTATAGGGAAGGGAGCCTTGATCTCCCTTCTCTCATCAATGTGGGAGATTTTCATTTTCCTCTATTTTATTTTAATCAAAAACAAAATAAAAATGCAAGGCAATCAACAAGCTCCAAGTGTCACATGGAGGAGAGAGTAGGTGAGGACCACCAAAGGGGGGGGACCAAATCACCTTGCTCCCCAAGCCACACACCAACCCCTTGGTCCCCTCCTCTTGACCGGCTGACCATGCCACATGGCTGGCTGGGGCGCCTAGCACCAAGGCTTGGCAGCCCAGCCAGCCAGCACACATCATACGCGCAGCTAGCTAGCACGCAACACATGCGTAGCTAGCCAGCACGCATGCGATGCTGCTGTTGCTGCTGCTAGGCGCTGCTATGCTATGCTGCTTCTTGGTGCGAGGCAGCAAAGAGCTGGCACACACACACAACATGCTGTGATGGCTGGCTCTGCTTTCTTAGCAAGCACGCACAACCACACACACACACATGGCTTGCGATGCTGCGTGTTGCGCTATGCGATGCTCAGCATGCTGCAATGCTCATGCTAGGTGCGTGCAATGCTTGCAGCTGGGTGCATGGCCTAGCACACTAGCCATGCTAGCATGCTTGCGGCCAGTAACACCAGCCATGCTAGCATGCTTGGCTTAGCACGCAATGTATGCTAGGCTTACGACATGTTTTGCGATGTGCATGGTAGCTTAGGCTAGCCTAGCATTCGTATGGCTAGGCCAATGCGAGGCTACGACCTAGCTTGAACTTTTTGCTTGTTGAATCTACGTCTCGTCGAATTCTAAATTCGACTCGACTTACGACACTCAGTTTCGATGCTCGAAGCTCGGCATCCGATGTCTTTGTTCTTAATTCTCTAATGAATCATCTAATCCTTCGGATTGATTTGTCGTCTCGGATCGGTTATTCTATAGGGGTGCGCCCAAAGGGTTCAGTCAAGATTAAGCCGTAATATTAATTATGCATTAATATTACTGATCGGAAGCGGCCTCCACCTAGGCATTCTGATCACTTGACCTCATTGAAGAAATTAGCTTTCTAATAATTCCGAACCCTCTATCAGAATAATACACTTGTTGGAAGGAAACCATTCCTTTCAACTCCTACTTGTCCTTTCGGACAAGTGTGCAGTTAGTGTGTAGCCCTTTTCCTATGTCGCTTAATGTCTCTTCATGAACTATAAGGTAAGATTATTCGTCATCCTTATTACGTCCAAAAGTGTTTCTCGATTTTTGAGTTCGACTATCAATAAGCAGATGATTTCCATAATCCATCTAAGCACACCATGCATTTTCATAGTTTCGCTTTTCGAGAGGCCTTGTAAACAACAAAGACGTATTCCCTACTGCAAATAGGGGGACATTCCTAGTCTTGTATTGTTAGCTACCCTTACTAAGAGGACCTAGTCGCCCGAGTGTTGCCGTTATAATCCCCATTTACGGCAGACGTTTGACAACATTAAAACAACTAGTACTCAAACAAGAGAGCTTACAATACTCATGGTCGAGGAAAAAGGTTCCGATAGCTATAATGAGAAATGTATTTATGACAGTTTTTAAATCTCTTAAAGTACTCTCATAGGTCGATCCGGTATAGTTCCAAACTAGTACCTGTGCAAATGATTTATGACAATCATGTCCTCGTAGCACAAGAAACGGTGCTATAAATCATACTACCACTAGGCGAAAATTGCTAATCAGCACCGGTTCAAAACACCCATTTCACACCGGTTTTGAACTGGTTCTGATTTGAGGGATGCCAAATCCCAAGACTTTTCGCACCGGTTCAAAACCGATGCGAAAAGTCCCCAAAAATATTAAAAAAAAAACTTTTTGCACCGGTTCTTGCTTTGAACCGGTGCAAAAAGTGGCCAAAAAAAATTTTTAAAAAAACTTTTAGCACCGGTTCTGTTCCAAAACAGGTGCGAAAAATGCCCAAAATATATATATATATATATATATATATATATATATATATATATATATATATATATATATATATATATATATATATATGTATGTATGTATACAATTTATTTATTTTTTTTATTTTTTTTGCTTTTTTTTCACTGAAATTGATATATAAACAGTTAAACACTAGCATATATATAAAGTTACATATTTTCATTAAAAAAAGCCGTAATATTACAATTTTCGTCTAAAAAAATAAAATAAAATTCTGTATATGAAATTACTCTTTAATTTGTTTATAAATGCCTTCTTGGTGATGGATGAGTTGATGTGGGGTGCTGGGTGGGTTGCTAGCTACTGTTTGTTTTTCTCTAGTGGTGCTGCTGCTGTACTGTTGTTGCTGCTTTGGTTATGGCTTGCTGGTTGTGTGCTGCTGCTGTTCCCTGCTGCTGCCATTGCTGGTTTATACTGCTGGCTGAATCAACATGCAGAACCACGAAAATGAATCAGAACAAACACACTATATATGTAGGAGTAAATTACAGCAGGGTACACTTACAATAGCTTCTATATATGTAGAAGTAAATTTGACACCTTCCATGAAAATAGTCGCATGGGCTAATAGTATAAAGGACATAACTGTTTTTATGGAGAAGAGTGTAATATTGTCCATTGATTTCTGTCAAAGAAAATAAATGAAATTAACTCAAACTCTCAAACATCAATCAAACAAATGATTAAGAATATCAATGTATTGTATGTACTGTGCAAAATAAAGAAAACTACTCTTACACCAAGAAATAGGAAAGGTAAGACATTCCCCATTATGAAGTTTTCTCAATATGTAAGAAAAACCAATCCAAAAAAAAAAAAAGGAATTACCTCTTTCTGTACCATGACCTTCTTGCTAAGGACATAACGGGATTGGTTTGTCACATTAGAAGCCATATCACTCCAAAAAAAAGCCTTTCATGAAAACAAAAACATAATAAGCAAATGGTTCAGATAATACTCATGCTGAAAACCCAGCAGGATCCTTGGAAATAGGGAGCACAAAATCTTGTCAGAAAGTTATTTCGCTGACCAGTTAAAAAAGGCTTCAGTCACTTATGCAAGAGCCACCCTCCAACAATGGGAAGAAGTAAAAGCACTACCCAAGGAGTGGGATTCTGCAATGAAGGATATGAAAATTAACCCACACATAAATTGAATCACAAGTGAAAACATAATAAATACTTCAACCACTGGCTGAACAATGTCTAATCCTACTCATCAGAGAATCTTTCACATTTCAACAATTCTATGTATGTTAAAATAAACATATGAAAATTATGTGAAATATACCTCTCCCAAAAATGCAGCAGACAGTAAAACAGAGAAAAATGGCTCCATAGCTTTGATTGTGTGAGTAAATGATACTACCACTTTACCCAAACTCATGTTGGTGAAGAGCTTGCTCAGGGTATGTACAACTGCCAAAGGCAGAATAGCAGCTAGCTGTGAAAGACCAGTAAAATTTTTTTGTACACATCTTGCTAAAATAACCACTTTGAAATGGAACACAATCTACACTACTAATTGGATGTAGTATTATATTAGTAAAACACCATTATTTGAGCACATTGAATGTTAAACACCATAACTCACTCATAATTGAATCAAAATAATAACATATCTTCCAATTGGAGTAATAAGAAGACTTTATTATAATATCTATTAGCTCAAACAGATAACTGAATCGAGGAGCTTTCAGATCAAGCAAAGGTATCAAAATTTGATAAAATCATATTCGGATCAAGAAAGATCAGTAGCATGTGATACCATACGTATTTTTTAAAAGCTCATTGAGGGAGCTTCATAATCACATTTAAAAAAGTAATAATGAAATGTTGAAAGAGATACTTTAGGAGCTTGCTTCTAAGTACAGTTGGTTTCTCAGAAAGAGATTAAGAAAAAATGGAAAGCATACCTCGTACATATTAAACGGCCTTTGCATATAAATCTGATGTGACAGAAATCAGGCGCATGTTGACGCACATAGTTGGCCTTTTTTGATTTAGGCTCCACCATTTTCCTTCAAGACAATAACACAGGAAAATCTCATTCTTTGAGGTTTTTATTGATGTATGACTTGTCTCAAAGTATATGACCTAGAAATTAGTCAAATCTAAACATCAAACATTCACAATTGGGGTCTATGAGCCCTATAAAAATCATTAGGGTTTTGCACAACAAAATCCATTATGGACACCTTGAATATCTACTATCTGCTGCTGCACCCATGACGAGTCTCCCTATCTTTTGTTGAGATATGATTTCCACAATTCCCTCGTCTATGGAGTCCCTTTCAATATGTAGTTTCTCGGCATGTGCCTATCAAAGTTTCAATATGAATACTAACATAAAAAAAGACTCAGATGGAAAACAGTGCTAATCAACAGTAAAATTCAATCACAGCTTGCTATTTCCTATCAGTTTAGAAAGAGATGATACCCCAACTATGGCACAAATTTGTAGATAATCATCCAGAATTTTATTCATCTCTCTATTTTCCTGCTCTCGAAACGCCTTGAGTTCCTTTTCTCCCACTTGACTAGCTGGAAATTTCCTACCCACTGCAATTTTTAAAATTGTAGCTCTTGTTGCTGGTGCTCCAAGGGTTGTTTCCATTCTTTATACCTTCAGCTCTTGTTGCTGGTGCTCCGAGGGTTGTTTCCATTCTTTACACCTTCAAGATGTGTTTCCTGATTGTCTAGAGAAGGTTTTGAAAGAATACAGGGATAAGAGAGTGAAATGTGGGGGGTTGGCAGTGTATAAGAATGACTCAAAATTGCAGGATTTGGAGAAAAAGTGTAATGGAGTTGAAAGGGGAGTTTTGTTGAACTGGAAAGCTTATAATTGAAGTGCCTTATTATGATGAGGATCAGACTAAAGGCAAAGTTATGGATATGCTTGAAAGGGGAATTTTGTTGAATTGGAAAGCTTATAATTGTACTGTCTACTTAAAATCTGGAGGGCAGTGTGAGTTTGATGAGCCTAATAGTCAATTCAATTGTTTCTGTCCTGATAGAACTCATGCTCTTCAATGTATGGAGCCTATACAATCTGCCCAAAGTGCTGCACTTGTTCATAAACTTCTGTCACGTTATGAAGCGAACTGCACTCTGAAAAACGAAAATTTGTACGGTTACATAACGTGTGAATGGTAAACTGTAGGACAAATTTAACAAAACTAGGTAGCGAATTGTGTTCCCAAACCCCCATTCACATACCGCAAATCAGGTAACACTACACCAAACACAAGATTTAGGCATAAACATAACAATATCCAGCAATCACTCCCAATAAATGAAACTAACATTAAAGTACCAAAATATTAATGACATATACTAAATTAAAATAACAGAATCAATTAAAATTAATATAATTACTTGGCATGGGAATCATTTTGGCAGGTTTGAATTCTGCAATAAAGCCCATTGTAGTGTAATTTTGCTTTCCTTCAACTCCTTGCTTACTGCCACAAGTACCTTGTCATCAATTACCATCCCTTTTCTTGTTTCCCCTAAAAGATCTTTGCTTGATCCCATTTCTGGGGTTTTCAATAATTTACCCAAAAAAAAAAATCACCCCCTCAATTTTATTGATTTACTCAGATTACTTAAGCACCGACCCCATCACTGCCAAGCCGCTAGTCTTGGAACGATGGGGTCGGCTACATGAACCAAGACTTAATCTCTGTGATCGTCTACAAAGATCCTATTTCTAATTACTTACCATATAAAACATTATAGAGATTTAATCAAACTAGCCGCCTAGAAAATTACCTATTAGTTTCATAATTCAATACTAACATCAGATAAGCTCCAAAAATCCAGGGATATTTGATTCGATTATCAATTCAGGCTTGAAAAATCACATATTTTTAAGGTTTTTTTATTCAATTGTCAATTTAAGGCTCGAAAAAGCACATATTTTTAGGGTTATTTGATTCAATTATCAAATTATGCTCGAAAAATAACATATTTTAAGGGATATTTGATTCAATTATCAAATTAGGATCGAAAATTCAGAGGGAAATCTGATTCAAACATCAAAAGTAGTAGAGATTTCAAACCCTAAACTTACCGCATTGACAATTAAAATGAATGAGATAAAACATAAACCCTAGAGTATGAAATTGATATGATGACTATAAAAAGAAACAACAAGTTACCTCAGAAGCTGCCTCTTCAATGAGGGATACACGGATTAGAAGGCGTCGTCTACTTGAAACTAAACCTTAACCACCGAAACTCACTCCAACCACCCTGAAATACTCAACACTCAACCGAAAACACCCACCTAGAAAATTCAAAAATCCGAAAACACTCACTCCAAAAACGATTGATCTAGAAAGAGAAAGCGAGAAATACCTGAATACCAGAAGAGGGGGAAGGTGGGCGCCGGTGGAGAAGGAGATCGAAGGAGAGAGTAAAGGAAAGGGAAAGAGATGGAGGAAACAGAAAGAAAGAAGACAGAAAGAGAAAGTAAGAGTAGATATTTAGAGGCAGACCAGGTTTTTTTTTTATTTAGCTATAGCTTCGCACCGGTTCGGTTAGAACCGGTTCGAAAAATAAAATTTTCGCACCGGTAATCTATTTTCCAATCCCGCCTAAAATAGGTTTTCAAAAATCGGTGTGGATTGTGCGGTGCCTATTTCATTTTTCTACTAGTGTACACACTAATCTCAAGTGTTCATTAATCATCCATCGTTTAAATGACCTTGATTAGGGACAATTTTCGATTGAAATATTCAATGTTCACTTAACAGGTGTTTCTTTATCCAAGACATGGTCTTGATACACTGTTTTGAATATTCTCAGTAATCGAATGGACTCATTAATTAATTTTAAACCATAATTAAATAGAAATGGAGTAATAATAAATTTGCGGAAAATTTAATTGCTCCAAGACCAAATGGTTCAACATAGTGTATTACATTAAGACATCAAGTTTAATTAAAACACATATACAGGGATATCAAAGCCGATCTCCAACATGCTTGATTCCCATTGCCTCAACGTGCTTGTTATGCTTCACTTGAGGCAAAGGTTTAGTCAATGGATCGGCTAAATTTTCGTCCGTTCTAATCTTACAAATTCTGATTTCACCCTCGGACGTCCATTCCCTTATCATGTGAAATCGCCGCTTGACATGTTTGACCTTCTGTTGTTCCCTTGGCTCCCTGGCTGGAGTAATAGCTCCATTGTTATCACAATAGAGGTCTATCAGACCCTTGATGGAGAGTACAACACCAAGTTCACGAATGAACTTACGAATCCAAACTGCCTCCTTAGCTGCTTCCGAAGCTGCCAAGTATTCGGCTTCAGTTGTAAAATCTACAGTGGTGCATTGCTTAACTCTCTTCCAACTAAACGCTCCTCCATTTAGGCAGAATATGTACCCTAACTGCGAGTTGGAGTCATCTCTGTCAGTTTGGAAGCTCATGTCAGTATAACCTTCAACAACCAAATCATTACAGCCACCATAGACCAGAAACTTATCCTTGTTCCTTTTCAGATACTTTAGAATATTCTTGGCCGCAGTCCAATGCGCCTCTCCGGGGTTTGTTTGGTATCGGCTCGTACTCAAGGCATACGATACATCCAGCCTAGTACATATCATGGCATACATGATCGATCTAATAAGCGAAGCATATGGAATCTGACTCATCCTCTCTCGCTCATCAAGTGTCTGTGGACACTGTTTCTTGCTGAGAGTTATGCCATGTGACATAGGTAGGTGCCCTCTCTTGGCCCCTTCCATGTTGAATCGTGCCAGTACCTTATCAATATAAGTACTTTGGCTAAATACAATCATCCTTTTAAATCTATCCCTATAGATCTTGATGCCCAATATGTAGTGTGCTTCTCCCAAGTCCTTCATTGAAAAGCACTTACCAAGCCAGCCCTTTACAGACTCTAACAGTTTAGTGCTATTTTCAATGAGTAATATGTCATCGACATATAAAACTAGGAATGCGATGTCACTCCCACTGACCTTCTTGTAAACTCAAGACTCATCTGAATTCTTGATGAATCCAAACTTACTAATGGCTTCATCGAATCGCAGATTCAACTTCTGTTTGCCTGCTTTAGTCCATAAATGGACTTCTTAAGCTTGCATACCTTCCCAGCATTGCTTGGATTAACAAAACCTTCCGGCTGTGTTATATACATAGTTTCTTCCAAAATCCCATTAAGGAAGGCGGTTTTGACATCCATTTGTCAAGTTCATAATCATAATATGCAGCAATCGCTAGGATAATCTAGACGGACTTAAGCATTGCGACTGGTGAAAAGGTTTCATCATAATCAACGCCGTGAATTTGCCTCTAACCTTTTGCCACCAGTCTAGCTTTATATATAGTTACATTTCCATATTTGTCTGTTTTCAACTTGAAATTCATTTGCAACCAGTAGGTTTTTAACCTTCAGGCAAATCAACCAAGTCCCAGACTTGATTTTCAGACATGGAGTCCATCTCGGATTTCATGGCTTCTTGCCATTTTGCATAGTTGGGGCTCGTCATAGCTTGTTTCTATCCTCATCTCCATCCATAACTAGGATGTCTTGATCTTCGGTTAAGACAATACTAAGGTATATGTCTGGTTGAGATCTTGGTCGTTGCGACCTACGCAGGGTAATAGGTTGAGCATTTGCATTGTCGGTTTGACTCTGACCAATGTCATTAGCTGCTTCTAAAGCCCTTTAATTGTCAGTTTTTTCAGGTTGCCTTTGATGCTCGTCCACTTGAACTTCGTCGAGTTCGATTTTCCTCCCACTTGTCATTTTGGAAAAGTGTTCCTTCTCCAAAAAGACACCATCACGAGCAACAACCACTTTGTTCTCGGATTTGTTGTAGAAGTAATACCCCTTGGTTTCTTTTGGGTAGCCCACAAAGAAACACTTGTCAGATTTTGGGTGAAGTTTGTCAGAAATTAATCTCTTGACATATGCTTCGCAACCCCAAATCTTAAGAAAAGACAACCGTGGAGGTTTCTTCGTCCATAATTCATATGGAGTCTTTTCGACAGCTTTTGACGGAGCATGGTTCAGTGTTAGTGCCGCAGCTAGAAGTGCGTGTCCCTAGAAAGAGATAAGAATTTCACTAAGACTCTTCATTGATCAGACCATGTCTAAAAAGGTTCGATTCCTCCATTCAAACACTCCATTCCATTGTGGAGTTCCGGGAGGTGTCAATTCTGAAAGAATACCATTTTCTTTCAAGTGATCGTCGAATTCGTGGCTCAAATACTCGCCACCTCGATCCGATCAAAGTGATTTGATTTTCTTTCCAAGCTGATTTTTAACTACTCCAAAACTCTTTGAATTTCTCAAAAGATTTAGATTTGTTCAACATAAGGTAGATATAGCCATATCTACTATAGTCGTCCGTGAAGGTAATGAAATATCGACAACCATTCCTTGTAGGTGAACTCATTTGTCCACATACATCCGTATGTATTAGACCTAATAAGTCACTAGCCCTTTCTCCAAACTTGGAGAATGGCTGCTTTATCATCTTGCCTAACAGACATCCTTCGCAATTTTCAAACGACTCCAAGTCGAATGAGTCAAGAATACCCTTATGAAGAAGTTTCTTGATGCGTTTGATGTTAATGTGGCTAAGACGATAATGCCACAAGTAGGTTTGATTCAACTCGATGGTCTTAGCTCTTTTGGCGGTATCATTCATTTGTCTAATCATACGTAAATCATGCATTTTTATAGAACATATAATCAAGACATTTCAAAAAACATCCATTGTTTTCGTCTTGTGATCAAAGTAACCCGGTGTCCAACACCATAGATCAAAAGTATGTTCAAAAGCATGAGAAACTAATATTAGTTAATTACAAGCCATAGACAAAAAAATGTGCCTACAAGCACGATCGAAAGACCACCTTTGTCGTCCGCTCGTAGTTGCACATCCACTTGTGAAGCCCTCTCACCCGGTTCCTGAAAAGGAAACATAAAGTGAGTTATACATGGTATCAAATACCTATGAATAGGTTTATACACAAGTGTTAATGAAGATACTTGAGGCAGATGCAACATTCCTCTCCTCATCAACCTTTCGGAAGAGCTTGCATTCCCTCTTGTAGTGGCCTTGCCCACCACAATAGAAGCATCGCATCTTCTCCTTGTTCTTGAACTCCCTCTTCCTTGCTCTCAAGGGCCTTTTGGTTGCTCCATAGGAGGTGGCTCGCTGAAGCAATTGCATCACCTCTCTTAAAGAGCGTGTCTCTTCTCTCGCAGCTATATGCACTCTAAGTGCATCATAGCCCGAGTGGAGTGAAGAAAGCAAGATATGACCCGCCATCTCATCCTCCAATGAAATTTCAAGAAGCTCCATGTGCTTGAAGAGCCTAGTCATACCAAGCACATGAGGTCGGAGGGGCATACCAGGTCTCAATTTGGTATTGTAGACCCTTGACCAAAGCCGGCGCCTCTCCTTAGCAAGACAACCCACTTTCGGTGGCTTTATCTTCATGTTTGAGAGTGACCTAGTCACATCAAACACGAGAGTCCATCATAGTTTCCATTGTCACTCTTAGTGACTCTCACATTGACAACGTCCTCAAGTGCTTTGAGGAACATGTCCGGAAGATAGAAGGAGAGCCTTTCCTTCCAATCTTCCGGGATGGAATTAGCCATTAGTCGTGAGACTTTCTTGCAATCGTAAGACCATTTATCATGAGCCTCATCACTTATGATTCCCTTAGAGAAGAAGCTTGGAATAGGAGTATCAAGAGTGTACTCCAAGGAACAATTCCAAAGAGCTTTACTGAGTTCCTCTTCCCATTCCTTGAAGTTGACCAAGTTAAGGCTAAAAGCCAACTTGTCGGGGAGTTCCGGGCACATATAGTTGTTGTTGATTGAGTTACTTGCAGACATATTTATACAATTGAAAGAATTTGAAATGAAAAACCATTCATAATCTAAGAAGTTTGAAATTTAAAGCGTTCATGTAAATTTCAATCTTATTGAGAATTTTATCCACGCATTAACATTAGTCCCTTTTAGGCGAGAATAAAATGATTCTAAGATCCCAAAAATCAAAAAGTGATTAAGCATGCTTTGGCTTGTCTTAACACTTAATATTTTATGGTAAGAAATCCAATTGCTAATAGCTCCAAGCTACTCTTGGTTCGATAAAATGTCACATCTAATGCTTCCTTGACATTTTATCTCCATTGCCACGACATATAAGGACTCCTTACTGATATCTTTAAGCTTAACCAAGACGACTTGTATACCTAGTATACATTACGTTCCTAGGGAAGCGGTGATGCCTCGCTTTGGCGTTGCCCATTACCACGCGCATTAGTTCGGTAAGTGTCGTTCTTGGAATGAAAAATTTGGCTCAATATTATAGGGACCTAGGGTTTCTATGTTGGTTTATTTAAGTGAACTTAATTAATCATCGCAACATTTGAAATCCTAAACATGCATCTATCATACAATTCAAGCATATATAAACACAATATATATAAATCATAAGTATAGGGTGCATTTGGCAACTAGCATGACACCTTGAGTCTTCAAATCTTCAAGGGTCTTCGATTCAACTTCTTGGCTTGTCTTCTTAGAAGCGCCGTCTTCGAGACATCTCCGCCAACCTATGCAACTACTA